AATTAAAAAAAATTTTATATATATATAAAACACATAGAGTAAGGTGTGGTTATTGTTTTTAAACAACAAATGATTAGTGATAATTGATGATTATTTATTATTTTTAAAATACTTGCTATTATTTTGTTATCTGGCTGGCAGTGTCCCTTTTGCTTCTCTTCTTCTAATGAGACATGCAAGTTCCTCAGTCTCTGTAAACTCTCTACTGTCTGGTGACTGAGGAGAGGATCAGAAGATGGCTATCGATGCCGAGATGTGGCCGACCCTGCTTCTCGATGGGCTCTTCTCCTTGTATACCCCGCTCTGAGGATGCAAGGGCACAATCGGCTCTCAAGAGGTTTGCACTTTTGGAACTGAAGGCAAAAGCTGCCCGTTCTGCCTTCTTCCCAAGAGACTCCAGAAGCTTTCCTCACATGAGCTCGGCCACCATCGCCCATGTGGTAAGTGAGGAACCAGGCAAAGGGAGTTGTAGGACTTAGGAGATACTAAAACCATATTTCCGAGGGTGCTAGCTTAGTGAGGCATAATTAACAAATAAAGCCGTGATATATTTCAATTGTACAACGTGGCGATTTGCTTGCTATGTGGCTACGTTATAAAAGGATCCCTACCATCAAGTTAACACATCCGTCACCTCACAGTTACCGTTTTTCTTCTTTGTGTGTGTGTGAGGAAGCTTGAGATCTGCTCTCAGCAAATTTCAAGTATACAAGACAGTATGTAGCCTCCATGCTGTACATGAGATTCTCAGAACTTACTCATCTTATAACTGGAAGTTTGTGCCCTCTGACCAATCTCTCCCTGTTTCCCCGACCCCTAGCCCCTGGAAACCACCATTCTACTCTGTTTCTTTCTTTTAAGTTTGACTTTTAAGTTGAAACTAGGTTCGAACGCCAATCTCAGAACCGAAGTTAAAGTTAATCAGAATAATCACGGTTAATCAGGTGTAGAAACGCTAGTAAGGAACGAAAAATCTGAGACAAAGTAGACGTGAATTAACACCCACTGGGCCAGGTTAAGAAGCCAAGAGCAGAATTTTAAACTTGAAAGTTTCTATTAGAAATTTTGTCCTGATCTGGAACATATGTTCTATTTGAGTATACGCCTTCCCTAGTCTAAGAATATACCTACCTACGAAGGAGCTGGAATGCAGGTGCAGGTGCTAAAAAAAGCTTTATATGAGGTTTCTTTTTGTCTGGACTCAAGAAACTACCCAACTTTCTGTTTGACAACAATGCCTTAAACTTGCTACAATTAATTATACAACTTTTCTTCACATCGCATTTTAATTTGGAAAGATGTGGGAAACATCTTTTTTTCTGGAGGAGATGTGTAAATTGGTCTAAACTCACCGGAAATAGGTTGACAAACTTGTAGTCAGTTAGCTATGCATATTCTAAATTCTCGCTCTCTTTTTGGTTTCAGGGGATGGCTTTCTCTTCTTGTCTTCCACATCTAAAGGATATTTTGAGTTGGTTGGGAGATGGATAAACTATACATTTATCTTGTTACTTGACAGCTTGGAGTTTTAAGTAAGTGTAAGGAATTACAAGACGGCTTAAAATGTTTAATTCTGTCCCTTAAACCCTGGTTGAAGCCGTGGATAGTCCTACCTGGCAGGTCAAGGGCTCAGGCAGCAGGCGGGAGGCAGGCGGGTCCCGAACAGCCAGAGTGAGGAAGCCCGACCAGGGAGTCAAAGTGTCTTCCTTGAGGCTGTGAGATCCAGCCGTTAATGAACAAAACCACAGGAACACCATAGAGCTGGAAGACAGGTAGGAAGGTCAAATGCAAACAGGACAGAGCTGAAAATAAACCTAGGATTAATTATAAATGAATTAAAGCTACCAGCTCAAATTAAACAGCCGATTTTGCATTTGGCATTTACGAGTATTTTTGTTACAGTTTTTATTTGTGCGTGTCGGTGTCCATGTTCTCAGAATATATTCCATTTGTCTTTTCTCAACATTTAGTAGGAAACTTTTTTTTCTTAAAAACAAATTATTATTTTTTTTAACTCATGTGATATTTTCTGTCTGTAGAGTTGGTTTGGCAAGTCATGCCCCTGGAAAATTGTTCTCAAATCTTGGTCTACATCGAAATACCTGGGAGACCCTGAGTCAGTATGACTGAGCACCCACACCTTCTATAAGCTGCTTGGTGAGTCTGAGAACCACAAAAGCTTTAGAACGAGCACCCCAGAAAATGGATCCCTCCACACCATGTAAGTGTGACGTGAGTAACCGTTACTTGGTGCTGTAACTCACTTCCTTCATTCATACTTTGGTGACCCATTAAAACATAAGGAAACTCATATGATTACTAAAAACCTCTTGAGATGTTTTTCCTACCTTCAAGGTACTTATCTGGAGAGCTAGTAGTAGGAAGACAGAGCATATGCATGGAGAGTTCATCACTCATAAAGGCAACCTGGGACGGGGGTGAGGCTAGAGGATGTCGTATTTTGGCACAGAACTAGGAGGTCAGACTAGTTATGTGAGAGCTAGGGCTGCAAGGGCCAGGGCAGGCTTTCTCATAAAAAATGGCTCTTGATGGGAACTCTAAAAGATGGGCAGAATATGTACAGACTTGTACCCGGAAGCGAGTTGCAGGGTGACCGACGGTGTAATTTGAGGCTGCCGGCAATTATGGAGGTTCCTCTCCTTGGAGCAGCAAAATGCTAATTAAAAGTTGCCTTTGGCTCCCAAGGCACTATCTAGTTCAAGCTCAAAGAAGAGGAATTTTTTTTAAAGAGTCCATAAAACTTAATTTTTATTCATTGTGAATCAATGCAGAAACCAGAATAGACCTAACGCATTGTCGATGAGTGTGTTTTGGACCCACGACACATTCTTAGCTGGAATCAGAAAGGTGAGAAAACTAAAGACGGCCTCGGGTCTCCAGCTCCACTCATGATCCCAGTTCTGCCCTCACCATCTCCCAGCCGGAACGTCTCCAAGAACAGGAAGGCGGCAAAACCCAGAGTGATGGATGCAGGGTGAACCTAATGTATGGGGTGTACAAGGGGCACACACGGTTTCACCCCCGAACCTGGGCAACCGGGGCCTTTGCCCTCATCTCCACAGTTTAGAAACTCCTTCTGCCCCCTCCTCCTCCTGGTTATGCCCCTCCCCTCGGGGTGAGGAGTCCGTGGAGCTAAGAGACATGCCCCCAGGAGTCTGTGACTCCCCTTCTAGACAACACTCTGGGTATCTGAGACATTGGAACTCCCTGCCCTTCGAGGCCTCCTGGCCAGGTCCATATTCCCAAGGGTATACAGGGTTTCTGCTGTACAGACAGAGCTTGGAAAAGTGAACAAAACGCATTAGGCCACTTACAGTGAG